TTATTTTAAATTCTTATTAATTAAGGGAAGTTGATTTTTAAGTAATTAATAAGTTAACTTTAGGTTATTTTAGTCTCACCAAACACTAAAATCATGATTCATCCCAAAAAGTGACCCATTGTTGTCCTCACGAACACCATACATTTCACACGGGATGCTTTCGAAATGTGAAAGTTGTAGGTGCTTGCTTGGCAAAAGCCTAAAAATAACCTCTTACTTTGATCAGTTGAACGGTTTTAATTCTTCACCTTATAATATAACGATTTTATCCTCTAATTTATAAGAATGGAAGAAAATAACTTTTATTTGTAACTTCTGTCATATATCTATCACTATCCGCCACTTTCGTTACACGTCCGTCACTTTTGTCACTTCATCTGTTATATTTCTAGTTAACTTTGTCTTGCTTATATAATAAATAAAAAAATGAGAAAGCTTCTCCAAGAAGCATGATGCATTTTTTTCGGGAATTCCAACCTCTTTTTTTTTAATTCTAACATTTTTTTTACCTTTATTTTTAAAGATGGTTGCACATATATTAATTGTATATAATTTTTACATATTATTAAATAAATAAATATAATTAATATCATAAGTACAAATAAATAAAACGAATGAATAAAATATATAATATAATAAAAAAAAGTAAAACTTCCTCAAAAACTTACTGCATTTTTTTAAAATTCTAACATTTTTTGCACTTTTATTTTTAAATATTATTGTATATATCCATTATATTCAACTTAAAAAATAATCTGCATACAACATATTTTTAATTTTGAGACTAAGGTGTAAGTAACAAATTAAAAACAAGCAAATTAAAAATTATTGTATGGAGATGGATTTCCGAGGATAGAGCGAGATGGATGAAGAAACCTATAACTACTGGAGATGGAGATCAAAACTGAAGGTGATGGTCAATGATGATGATGGTGGTGACAGTGACGATGCGGATGGTGGTGATGGCCGAAATTGGGGGGAGGGGACTCCAAGGAGAGAAAGATCGGGAACCTTCCTCACTTTTTCCTTTTTTCTTTTTTTTTATTCTATGCAGTTTTCAATTTTTGCTGGTTATGGTCAATGATGATGATGGTGGTGACAGTGACGATG